GTCAGTCGCAGGCTCTCCCTCTGATGTCGTCAGGGTCAAAGTCGAATGAAGGATAATCAAATCTATCATTCAATCCACCACCAGATGAGGAGAAACCACTATCACCTCTGCATTAAAAAGAGCTAAGACGGCTGTTTGCCCCAAAGATCTCCCAACTGCGAGTGCCTCAGTATTTCGTTGAAGATGTTACAACTCATTTTCTTTGTTTTCCCCTTCTATGGCTGCTGCTCCTTCTCTGCCTCTACTCAGTCGTCATTCTCTTCGGCGTAGTCTTCACCATCGCTTGCTTCCACAGCTACGTTCGCTGCTTCTTCCACCGCAGTCGCCATCAACGACATCATCGCAACCATCGCTCTCTCACATCCTTCCTCGATGTCATCCGCCCAGGTCCCGAGATCCTCAAACCCAGCCCGATCTCGAAACTGAAACCCCGACGCTGGTTTATGCTCCATCTGTGTCTCCAATGGGGAGTCAGGTTCGGCCCTGTTCAAGAAACCTTGGAGCTTCGCCGTGAGTTTGAAAGGAAACCCCAGATCGAGCCTCTTAATCATCGCCTCAGTCTCCATCGCACTCGTCTTCACAGTATGCTACCTTCTCATTTCAGCGCGAATCTGGAGAAATTATGGTACGAAACGGTACGGGATTGTTATCGATGGCGGAAGTACGGAACGCTGGATCCATGTATTCGGGTACAGAGTTGATGGTGGTAATGATGATGTGTTTGATTTTGAAAAGGATGGGTTTGTGTCGATGCGGGTCAATCCTGGGCTATCGACGTATGCAAAGGATCTGAAATCGGCAGGTGTGTTGCTGCGGGAGCCTGTGGAGAGTGGGAAATGGAGGATTCCGAATAAGCACTTGGCGGATTCCGAAGCAGCATTGAGCAAAATTCCTTATGAGAAATTTGACACGTCAGAGGAAGTTTACGAACAGCGCAATAAGTCATCGCCGTCTTCCCATCACAAGAACAGCAATCGCGGTGGCAATATCAACGGCGTGAGTAACGGCGGCAGCGGTAATAACGACCATCTCCTCGTTCGTCGCCGCGCTAACTGTGACACCATCTCCACCCCGCTCTGGAGAAACGGTCCGAGAGGCCCCAAGGAAGTTATATTACTGACAATCTTAATGATGTCGCTCCACCTCCCCATTCTGACTTGGACCTCTGTCTCCATCAAACCGTAGAGGTTCGAACAAAACTTGTAGGTTCTTATTAATCCATCATAAGAACCTACAAGGTTTTTAACAGATGCTATTTGTTGATGTTAGTAGTCGACGGTGGGTGTTGCTTTGTTCCAAGCTCAACCTCGTTGTGCTTAAAGAGGTGTTGGTACAATTCTGGGCCCTCAAAAGGTGCAAATTAGAGTGTCTGACAAAGTAGTAAAAGATAATGTGCACATGCAGGACAACAAAGCAAAGACAGAGGTGCAAAGCAAAAGTGAAAAGGAAAAGGGAAAGAGAAAAGAAGAAAAGCAAAAATTTTGTTATGATTACGATTCATTTTGTCTGCCAGGTGAAGAGACAGAGAGAGTGGTGGAAAAGTATCAAGAAAACCAGAAAGCAAAAGTAAGGAATAAACATCCCACCAGAATGATGTAATTTATTTTATCTTTCAGAGACATCTGTATAAACCCCATCATAGGGTAAAAAAAAAAAACGGCAAAGCCCAAAGTAAATGGGTTGGAATGTTGTGTAAAGGGCAAAAGACCATAAGCCCAAAATAGCATCAACCAGATCATCAAAAGTACGCCTAGTACTCCACAATTATTCGGCAACCCGCCGCTATTACCACCAACCAGGTGACCAAAAGTACGCCCAGTATTCCAAAATTATTCGGCAACCCGCCGCTATTACCACCAACCAGGTGATGAAATGTACAACCCGTACTCTAATATCATTTGGCAACTAGCCATTTATGCCACCAACCAAGTGATGAAATGTACAACCCGTACTCCAAAATTATTCGGCCCGCGCTAACTGTGACACCATCTCCACCCCGCTCTGGAGAAACGGTCCGAGAGGCCCCAAGGAAGTTATATTACTGACAATCTCAACGATGTCGCTCCACCTCCCCATTCTGACTTGGACCTCTGTCTCCATCAAACCATAGAGGTTCGAACAAAACTTGTAGGTTCTTATTAATCCATCATAAGAACCTACAAGGTTTTTAGCAGATGCTATTTGTTGATGTTAGTAGTCGACGGTGGGTGTTGCTTTGCTCCAAGCTCAACCTCGCTGTGCTTAAAGAGGTGTTGGTACAATTCTGGGCCCTCAAAATGTGCAAATTAGAGTGTCTGACAAAGTAGTAAAAGATAATGTGCACATGCAGGACAACAAAGCAAAGACAGAGGTGCAAAGCAAAAGTGAAAAGGAAAAGGGAAAGAGAAAAGAAGAAAAGCAAAAATTTTGTTATGATTACGATTCATTTTGTCTGCCAGGTGAAGAGACAGAGAGAGTGGTGGAAAAGTATCAAGAAAACCAGAAAGCAAAAGCAAGGAATAAACACCCCACCAGAATGATGTAATTTATTTTATCTTTCAGAGACATCTGTATAAACCCCATCATAGGGTAAAAAAAAAAACGGCAAAGCCCAAAGTAAATGGGTTGGAATGTTGTGTAAAGGGCGAAATACCATAAGCCCAAAATAGCACCAACCAGATCATCAAAAGTACGCCCAGTACTCCACAATTATTCGGCAACCCGCCGCTATTACCACCAACCAGGTGACCAAAAGTACGCCCAGTATTCCAAAATTATTCGGCACCCCGCCGCTATTACCACCAACCAGGTGATGAAATGTACAACCCGTACTCTAATATCATTTGGCAACTAGCCATTTATGCCACCAACCAAGTGATGAAATGTACAACCCGTACTCCAAAATTATTCGACAACCTGCCGCTATTACCACCAACCAGGTGATGAAATGTACAATCCGTACTCTAATCATTTGGCAACTAGTCATTCATACCACCAACCAGGTGATGAAATGTACAACTCGTACTATCCTTCATGCCACCAACCAGGTGATCAGAAGTACGCCCAGTACTCTAAATTATACATGAGCATTACTCATGTCATTCATACATAAACATTCATGAGCATCACTCATGACAATCATACATAAACATTTATGACCATCATTCATGTCAACATTCATGAGCATCACTCATAACAACATCCATAAGCATCACTCATTTCAATCAACATAAACATTCATGAGCATCACTCATGTCAATCAGCTTCAAAAACTTCATTTACAGAGCTCCAGCTTCAAAAGCGTCATTTACAGAGCCTTAGCTTCAAAGCTTCACTTGCAAAGCTTCACCTACAAAGTTTCAGTGCAGGGTATACAAATACCGCTTTCTAACAATCGCCACTTCGGCCCATACATGGATTCAATTTGAAGTCTCCAGCCAACAGACTCTATTGACCGAAGACTTGGGGGACTACATTATGTACCATATATTGGGCCTTAACTGGGCCTCACAAAAAATACTTGGGGGACTTATCCTATTACTTATGTACTGAGGAGCGATCCCTTATTCTATAAAAGAGACTCCCTCACTTTCATTAGAGAGCACCTATTGTTCATGTACTGAGAAACGAGCCCTTATTTTATAAAAGGGACTCCCTCATCATCATTAGAAAACAACGCCGCCAGCTGAACAACCACCTCGCCGCGAACATCACTCATAACCCATCACTTATGTATTGAGGCGCAAGCCCTTATTCTATAAAAGGAACTCCCTCACCACCATTAGAGAGCATCGCCGCCTACTGAGCAACCGCCTCGCCGTGAGCATCAACTCTAGCCCATCATTTATGTATTGAGGAACAAGCCCTTATTTTGTAAAAGGGACTCCCTCACCATCATTAGAGAGCGTCAACTCTAGCCCATCATTCATCTATTAAGGAGCGAGCCCTTATTCTATAAAAGGGACTTCCTTACCTTTAAACGACGCAAGCCGAGCCAACCAAGGCAACATAAGTCACAAGCTGAGCACCTCGCAGCGTGTGCTATTTCTAGTTGAGCGTCATTTCAGATTGAACACTGCCTCATATCGAGCATCAGTTCAAGATTGCATTTAGTTATTTCAGCCCACACATGGACTGAATTTCAAGTCTCCAGCCAAAAGACTATTTTGATTGAAGACTTGGGGGACTATTGTTAATACCATATTTAGGGCCTCGTATTTAGACCTCATATAAATACTCGGAGGACTTAAATTTAATTATGTAATAAAGGAATAGGTAAATATGTAATTAAGGGAGGAGCCCTTATTCTATAAAAGGGCCTCCTCACCCTCACAAACCCTAAGTCTATCCCCATCTAGAGCAAATCTCTTATTCTCTCTCCCTCACAAATACTCTCAGATAAATACAATCAGTGTGGACATAGCCCAAACCTTGGGGTGAACCACGATGCATCTTGTGTTATTTACATTACTTGCAGATTCACGGTCGGATTTACGTTGTTCCAAGACCTCCGGTTTTGTGCATCAACACACTTAGTATGAGTTGATTCTCGACATGACTCAGGTCCGCTTGTCGAGTTAGACAAGAGATCATTGTTCGGACTAAATATTTGTCACCATAAGCATATGGCTCAGTGATCAATAGGCTAATCAACAGTGTCGGTAGGCTTCTTTAATCAACAATAATGTTGATCAGTGGATCTAGTTGCTCAATAATTTCTGACAATAAATGACAGTATAAGTATGACCGTATAATGAATAAATCAAATTGACAAAGTTTGTCAAGACAAAATATTGTACTATGTGCCTTCAATAAATAAATAATTTATTTAGTCGTGTGGTAAATCACATGTTGTATAAGTGACATAGTTTAATGGCAGTCACAATACTCTAGGCCAATAAATATTGTATAATAAAGTTTTATCCTACCACTTTAAATAATGAAGTCAGGATTGATTAAAGATGCAATAATAAAATATTAATTAATAAAATAATTGTAAGGAAGATTGCAAACAATCGAACGTTGTAAAGCGTATGCACACTGTAAAAGAATATGCTCATTGTAAAGCAAACGTTGTCCCTCGGTAATGATGTGAGGAAGTGGTTTCTTTTAGGCATGGCAGATAATATCAAAATAGAATAATAATATAATTAATAATAGAAAACTTATCATTACAGCCCAATCAGGTTGGGAAGAGGACCACTGCAGATCCAGGCATCATTGCCGTGGGCATCCCTACGCAACAATGTCGAATTGCAATCCACTAAGCACCCCTACTTATCGTCATTGTGCTTGGTGGTAACAATGACCTTATCGGCAACAAGGTATATGGAGTAGAACCCAACACCGAACTGACCGATCATGCTAACATCAGCACTAGCAGCCAAGGCTTCCATGAATTCCTTGGTGCCAGACCTAGCTATGGTACCAAGGTTGTTCACTAAATCAGCTTTGGTCATCCCAATACCACTGTCGATTTTGGTCAATGTATTGTTGGCTTTGTCAGGGATGATATAGATGAAAAGCTCTGGCTGACCATCGAGTTTGCTCTTGTCGGTCAAGCTTTCAAATCTGATCTTATTAAGAGCATCAGAGGCATCGCTGATGAGCTTACGAAGAAAGATCTCCTTGTTGCTGTAGAAGGTGTTGATGATCAAACTCAGAAGTTGGTTGACCTCGGCCTGGAAGGCAAACGTCTCAGCCTCCGCCATTGATCTCGTGTACAAGGATTTTCTGAAGATCTAGGATTTTGGATCTGTATTGCTTGACGAGCACCACGTGCTCCTCATTGCGGTGGCCTTCCTCCTTCTACTCGATCGATGAGATTTTACGCCAGACGACTCGGAATGAGCCGATGATGTTTTGTAGGCGACAATGAGCAGGTTGTGCTCATCCACCATCAGCTAGGTCCCAATTAAGAGAGATGGTGAGAGAGAGGCTTACGAGATGCACAAGGGCTTTGATATGCCTGACCAGAGCCGATGTACACTGGTTTTCTCTAGGCTCATGCATGTGATGTCTCCGTATGTACTCTGTCTCTATCGAATCACCACTGGCGTTGCTCATTTTTTTGTAAAGTATTGTTTCCCTTCAATCTCTCAATCCCTCAATCCCTCAAACCGTTTCTTTCTCTTTTTTTTCTCTACAAATAAACGAGGACAACGGGAGAAGAAAGCAATATAGGAATAGACGCTTCCAGAGAGATAGAGAAAATACTTTTCTTTATTTCCTGAGAGAGAGAGAGAGACTTTTGGGTTCTTGGGTTTTGTAGATCCACGATGAACAGTGGTGAGGTTTCACGGTGGTGAGATAAAAAAATGAAAGAGAACCGACATATCTTTCGTGTCGTTTCCCACAGACGGCGCCAAATATTTATGCACAAAATTCGGAGGATCTTGGACCAACGTAAATCCGGCCGTGAATCACACAAATGCACAAGAACATAAAGATGTATCATGGTTCACCCCAATGTTTGGGCTACGTCCACACTGATGTTGATTCCATTTATTGTATGAATGTATGAATGTATGGATTACAATGTTTGGCTGAGAGGGTATTGCCCTCTATATTGTTGTGAGGCATGTATCTGAGACTCTCTGGATGTGAGGCCTTTTATGAGGGTGAGGGGAAGTCCCTTTTATAGAATAAGGGCTCCCTCCCCTTTTACATTTGTTATGGGCTTAAGCATGAGGCCCAAAGATGAGGTCCAATATATGGTACCAATAAACTACAATCTTATAATCCACTTTACTTACACAATCCATAATAAGCTTGACAGTCAAATCATCAATACCCACTTCAACAAGCACTAATCTCATCTAAGTCTGTCATAGGTTTTAGACAAATCAATTTTCCAAGCCATATAGCCTCTGGCCCCTCCAGTGATGGAGAAAGTATGCAAAACTTCCTGAGCAATTATAATGTTATCAATAATATGTCTTCCAGGGATGAAACTAGCCTGATTAAGACTGATAACAGATTTCATAATAGGTCTCAATCTGTTAACAAGAATTTTGGTCACCACCTTATACAAAGTAGAACACAAACTTATAGGACGAAATTGGGAAATATCTTGAAGGCCATCAACCTATAGGAACAAAAGTGATTAAAGTACTACCAAGACCATTTGGAATAGAGCCCTTCTTAAAACACTCAATAATAAGACAAAAGATGTCAAAGCTACATAACTTCCAAAAATTCTAAAAAATGCAGCAAGGTAACCATCTGGCCCAGGAGCCTTAAAAGCACCAATAGAAAAACAAACTATCTTTAACTTCTTGAAGAAACACATATTCTTTTAAAGCACCAAGCAAAGACTGATCAACATAGGAAAAGATTAGGCATCACACCGTTAGAAGTCCCATCAAAAGAATCAGTAAATAAAGAACAAAAGTGATGCACCTCAATCAGCTTAAGATCCTTCTTATCCTCCACCCACACGCCATCATTATTCAACAAACCTTCAATTTTGTTCCTTCTCATTCTAATGATGGTAGAAAGATGAAAGAACCTTGTATTCCTATCTCCCTCTTGAAGCCATTTAACTCTTGATTTTTGCTTCCTAAAAATTTCCTCCTGCTCAAGAAGATTATTATATTCCTTAGATAGAAATTTATATTTTTTCAAAATGCAATGTTTTTACAGTTGAATTGGATGGGCAGCCCAACGAGGTTGGTGAAGCCCAGCAATCACCCTCACTTTTTGGGCCGATGGTCGTTGGTTTTTAAGGTTTTGGGTAATTGTGCAACCCTTGTCCTGCCTTTTGCAAAATAGTGGAGTTCTCTAAAGAAAAAAAAATCCAATTGACTCTACTAATGTGGCGTTCTCCATTTACCCAATGTTCTAGAAGACATTCGGTGCTAGTTGGTGACGAGCTAAAGCCTAGTGCCTAGGCAGCTAGGCGGAGTCTAGGCGGGCTAGGCGGATTTGTATTTTTAAAATAAATTTATTATATAATATATGAATAAGTATTACAAAAAAAAAACATACTTGTATAGAAAATTTGAGAAAGATAAAATGAAAAATAAAAGAATACATAAATAAATATTTATGATAAAATATGTGTATTGTGTAAAATTTTAGAAATTTTCTAAGATCATAAGTTTTAAATTATTATTGGGCCTCACAAAACTTTTAATAAAAGAAACCCTAACCACAAACCAAAAGTTGTCACCCACCCACCCCACTTTTCTCTTAAACGGCTAAATTTTCTAGATAATTGGGCCAAAGAAATTGTTAATTAATAAGTTTTTTAATATTTTTGCTTTTATCCGGCATGGGAGATTGGGATTCACTCACCTACTCCTTAATCCTTGTCTATCTAATAACTTTAATATAATAGATATCTTCTATAGATCACGAAGTCTTTCCCCTCTCTCACTCTCTGTAATTTACTCTCATCCTCATTCTCTCTCTTTCTATCTCTGCAGAACCCACATCCACTCCCATCCTCATCTTCTGGGGTCTTTGCAGAACTTACCTTCAGAACCACATTTTGCAGAACCTATCCTCACTTAGTAAAGCGTGAAAGATAAGTTTGAGGCTGTCGAAAATTGCAAATGGTGAATCGGATGCAGATGCTGACGAATTAAAAGTTGCAGAACCAGCCTAGACTACCGCCTAGGTGGCCGCCTAATCTTCTCTGTTTGTTTTTGTAAACATCCTGGCCAAAATAGCAATGGGGCACCGCCGCCGAGAGCCTAGACCGCCGCCTAGGCTAATTTTTAGAACACTGGTTTTACCATAGGAAAAGCAAAGGTGAATGAGTTTTCTGATAAGTAATTGTCACGCCTTAACCTGCAAATATAGACTATTCACGAGTTAGGATGTGAGTCATATCTTAGTTATAGAAATAAATTCTAAAACCAAGATATGGTAGAAAAAAAAATTAAATACCATACATCATTTAAAAAAAATTTATATAAAATTTATCGAAGACACATCAGAATAACAATAGTGCACAAATTAGTTCATAACAAAAAATTACCAACTGAAATAATAGTTAGAATGTAACAATTCTTTCAATGCATAAAATATGTGCAAATAAGATGTATGAATGTACTTACTCCCTTCTAATCCCGCTAACACATGCCTAAGGCATCCAAGCCAACACGTCCCATACTATACTTATACCACTTGGCTCCGAATACCTTAGAATATGAGTTAACTCCCGTTCATCCCTTAATCCCAATTTTCATAATTAAATTCTCAATTTCCACTTTATTTATATAGGCACTTTCCCCGACACCCAATTGTATATTCAAGCCCTTCCCTAGATGTTTGACATATACAAGATTTCATTATTATATATTAAAAGCATTCTCCAGCCCTTAAATATCTTCACATGTCAAACACTTGACACAAGTGAGCATTATCCATGTTCTGTGGAAAGTATAGATTGACATGTTAGACATCATGAAGTAAACGTTTGAAGACATGACGTCTCATCTGGAAGCGACATCTGAAATCCTCTTTTGTGTACGCGGAGTTGGAGTTGAAGTAGTTGTTCATTAGAGTCTCATGTGCTATCTCTCTATTTCGTGGTTTGTAAAAACGACCAGCAACAGAGCCACCCTATTGAGGTTGTTATTCAATTTCCTTACACGCCATAGCCCCAACCATTGATGCCATATATGTTAAGTTGCGACATGCTTCATCTTCTTCATTGGACTCCTCATCTTCTTGTCTCATCTGCATTTATCTTCCAATTTGGAATTGGATGAGGACCCCAAGTTGAAATGCGAAGATGATCCAAAGTTGGAATTCATTGCAAACTTGAATTGAAAGAGATATTAGAGAGGGCAAAGATGAATGTGTGTGAATTCTACCCTAATATCTAACCTATTTATTAACATTGAAAGCTGAAGATAAGAAGTGCCACGTAAATAAGAATCATATTTAAAATTTGCACAACCAATTACATCTCGACACATGGCATTCAAAATCCTATCAAAAAAAAAATTATTAAGATTACATAAATATAAGAAATCTGGAGAGCTACTCATTTTAGCGACACTTGTCACTTGAAATCCTATCCGAAAAATTATTGAGATTACATAAAGATAAGAAATCTAAAGAGTTACTCACGTTAGCGACACGTGTCACTCGAAATCGTATACGAAAAATTATTAAGATTACATCTTGACAAAAAATCTGGAGAGTTACTCACGTTAACGACACGTGTCACTCGAAATCTTATCCAAAAAATGATTGTGATTATACAAAGATAAAAAAATCTGAAAGCTTATTTATTTGGCAACAAGTGGCACTCAAAATATGTCCAAAAACCTTATTTTAATATGATATTTTAATTTAAGTAACCATATTAATTCAATTAAAATAATAAATTATGTTTGGCCTATGGCCCTTTGGCCCATTCAGTTGGAGATAGTTTTTTGGCAAATGGCTATGTTTGGCCTATAACCCTTTGGCCCCCTCGATTGGAGATGGTATAAAACATGGTCTAACACTGTTCATTAAAATATTAATTTTGTGCATCGTTATAGAGCTAAAGAAGGCCCTTGGCCCTTCTTTAGTTGGAGATGGTCTAATTGGGCTCCCATAGCCTAATGACTTAGAAGAGATGGAGGAGATTTTGGTGTGGAGAGGGTATTTAATCCACTATCCTCAGGAGATAATATCATGCTGGAAGTGCTCAAATGAAAGGTACAAAATATGGTTAAGCCTGACAATTTCTCGTACGACGCATTAACGCAACACAAAACAACATAAATTAACAAATTTCATGTTATTCTGTTAACGAGTTGCGTCGTTACTGGTCACTTGTTAAGAACTAGTTAATGAGTCGTGCTATTATCAGGTCACCTGTTAAAATAAACAAGTATGATACGGAAACAACCTAGTTGTCACGTCTAGACGTTAGGCATGACAATTTTTGCACGACTTCTTCACCTGACATGAAACGACAAAAAAAAAAATAGATTCCAGGTAAACCTGTTAACAAGTCGGGTCGTTATCATGTCACCTGTTAAATTCATATGATAAATTTGACGTGACATGATTTGTTAGAATAGTGGATATGACACGAAAAAACGACACAAGAAGGCAAATTTAATTAGACTTTTTAGCCAAAATGATCACTAAGATTGGCATAACATTTCACTTTGATCCCTGAGACTTGAAATCGATAGAAGTTGTCCCTGAATTTGTCTGTCATCAATTATTTTGGTATTTCTGTGAAAAAAAAAATCTTCATAAATAAGAATAAAATGACAAAAATACCTTTGATTCTAATCAAATTATTTTGGTTTATTGTTTATTAAATTAAAGATATTTTTATCACTTTAATTCTTATTTAATAGAATTACAAAATGATCAAAATGGTTGATCGTAAATAAAATTAGAGATCACTAGTATTGATTTAAAGTCTCGTGAACAAATGGAAAGTTAAAAAACAAGCCTAATGACTGTAGGGGGATGACAAAATAGAGCAGAACTGCAGGAGCCGGGCCAAAATTCGCGATGCCTCTCAGAGCACAATCAGACGAGTTCACCCACAAATGAAACTTTGGTTCTCTCTGAATCTGGGAAGCTTAAGGTTAAGCTGCAACTTGCAACCTGCAGGAGGTGTTCAGTTCGGTTAGCCTTCCTTCTGTTCACTTACTTATTTGTAGTTGCTTCATTTCATTGGATTGGATTGAATTGGGTTGCATAATTTAATTTTGGTGTTTGGAGACAGTGGGGGCGGCAGATTGGTAATCGTAGTAAGTTGGAAAATAGTGTTATTAGGGGGAGAGAGAAAGAAGGATGGGAGCGAGTAGAAATAGCGACCCGAATCAGGACGGGTCAGATGAGCAGCAGAAACGATCGGAGATCTACACCTACGATGCGCCGTGGCACATCTACGCCATGAACTGGAGCGTCCGTCGGGACAAGAAGTACCGGCTGGCCATCGCCAGCCTCCTCGAGCAGTACCCAAACCGAGTGGAGATCGTGCAGCTGGACGACTCAAACGGGGAGATCCGGTCGGACCCCAACCTGTCCTTCGAGCACCCGTACCCGCCAACCAAGACCATCTTCATCCCGGACAAGGAGTGCCAGAAGCCAGACCTGCTGGCCACCTCCAGCGATTTCCTCCGGGTGTGGCGCATCTCGGGGGATGAGGACGACTCGGACTCCTCGTCGTCTGTGGAGCTCAAGTCCCTCCTCAACGGCAACAAGAATTCCGAGTTCTGCGGGCCCATCACCTCCTTCGACTGGAACGAGGCGGAACCCAAGCGCATCGGCACCTCCTCCATCGACACCACGTGCACCATCTGGGACATCGAGCGCGAGGCCGTGGACACCCAGCTCATCGCCCACGACAAGGAGGTGTACGACATCGCTTGGGGCGGCGTCGGTGTATTCGCCTCCGTCTCAGCGGACGGCTCCGTGAGAGTGTTTGACCTGCGCGACAAGGAGCACTCCACCATCATTTACGAGAGCTCGGAGCCGGACACCCCCTTGGTCCGCCTGGGATGGAACAAGCAGGACCCCAGGTACATGGCTACCATCATCATGGACAGCGCCAAGGTGGTCGTCCTCGACATCCGCTTCCCGACCCTCCCCGTGGTCGAGTTGCAGAGGCACCAGTCCAGCGTCAACGCCGTTGCCTGGGCCCCACACAGCTCTTGCCACATCTGCACCGCCGGTGATGACTCCCAGGCCCTTATCTGGGACCTCTCCTCCATGGGCCAGCCAGTGGAGGGCGGCCTTGATCCCATTCTGGCCTACACAGCTGGGGCTGAAATCGAGCAGCTGCAGTGGTCCTCTTCCCAACCTGATTGGGTTGCAATTGCCTTCTCTACCAAGCTTCAGATACTCAGGGTATGAATAAGTATGGCCACTGACCAAGCATTTCACGAACTCCGCCAGACTCCAGTTGCCATCGCTCAGCTGCTCTTTAGTCAGTCCTTCCTAGTTCCCAGTTTCTAGTCGTAATTAAGATAATACTACCTCACTCTGTTACTTTATTGACAATTGATGTCAACATTAGCTGAAGCCATATATGATTTGGTTATCAACTATTGCATATCATGCTCCTTGCCTTCTATATTTCTTACGAAAATGCATCTTTGTCGATGATAGTCCTAGATTTCTGCTAATGAAGTTAAGATAATTCAATTGTATCTGATTTCTTTCCGTTTATTAGCTAGACTCAATCTTTATTAACTATACTATCATTTGATTTGCCCATGTTGATATTGCTATTCGTTTTGTTTTTTTTCTCCTTGCGATTTTCATACGAGAGGAGATTGTCACCTACCTGACCATCCCAGTCTGCTTCTTAGCTTAAAATTATGTCGCATGTACCTCTGCCACAACTTATTTTATGCTTTAGCCGATTTGACCAAACAGTATGATTTAGTGAGTTATGCAAGCATGACATGACAATTTGTTAGTGAGTTTGTTTCCTCATTACTAGTGGGTCGCAAGTGTGGAAGGAATGCCCCAAAATTTTCACATTGTAGTATAGAATTGCATTCCTACCTTCCTTTATAGCAAACACTGAGTAGTTGATAAAAGGAATACGACCTTGTAGAAGATCTAGCATTGAAAATTTTCAACAGAATATGTTGAGAATCTACAAAGTTTAGACTAACATTGCCTGTGGTCAAGGATTCACGATTTCTGAGAGTTGGATTAGTAGTTTGAGTTTGAGTTGGATTAGTCTTAGGCTTAGCTTAGTTGAATTAAATAATTTGCATCAAGGATTCACAATTCTTCGAAGGTTTTTCTGAGTTAATTGCACTTTTATCCTAGACCTACCTTCCAGCTAATTGCGGTTAAAACGGGTTGTCAATATATATATATATACACTGTTGGTCAAGTTGTTAGCATCTGCCCTGGATCATTCTAAATACTTTTGAGTCTGAGTACTCTGCTTCTTTGCATCGAGAACTTGCAGGCTTGTTAATGTTACATCGAGAACTAGCTGGATTTTCATCTTCTGCTGCCCCTCGTATTACACCCCCTTTTCCGCCTCCCTTTTCGCTTGAATCAAATCCACAAACTGCAATCTTTCTTTTCCACCAAAACATAAAATTCCCTCTATGTAACATTCCACATCGACCAATGGAGAAGGGGTGATGTGTTTTATATGTAGATGCCCACTTCCATATAGCACAATGTCTTTTGGGAGCTCACTGGCTTCGGGTTCCATCGGAACTCCGAAGATAAGCTAGTTCGGGAGAGAGCAATCCCAAGATGGATGACCTACTGGGTAGTTCTCTTGTGAGTTCCGACAAACAAAATTGTGAGGGCGTGGTCGGGGCTCAAAGCAGACAATATCATGCTACGACGAAGTCGAGTCCGGGATGTGGTGGAGCCGATCTGGGATGTGATAATTTGGTATCAGAGCCATTCTGCCGTGTGGTGCCGAAGAGGACGTCGGGCTTCTAAGGGGGTTGGATTGTAACATCCCGCATCGACCAACGGAAAGAGGGTGATGTGCTTTATATATACATGCCCACTTCTATATAGCACGAGACATTTTGGGAGCTCACTAGGTTCAGGTTCCATCGAAACTCCGAAGTTAAGCAAGTTTACGCGAGAACAATCCCAAGATAGGTGACCCACTGGATAGTTCTCGTGTGAATTTCCAGAAACAAAACCGTGAGGGCATGGTCGGGGCGCAAAGCGGATAATATTGTGTTACGGCAGAGTTGAGCCCGAGATGTGGTGGAGCCCAGGTTGGGATGTGACACTCTGCTTCCCTTTTTGCTTGAATCTCATCATTTTTTGCTTGAATTTCGCTTGAAAACAAATCCATAAACTATAAGAATAAAAAATCTCAACCTACAAGTACTGTAATTTTTTTATTGAATTTTTTTTAATCCTATTTGGATTCTAGCTTGCGTGAATTTTGGGGTCTGATTTAAGCAAGCTTGAATCTGACTGCAATTTCTTGCTTTAATTTTGTTTTACCCTTTTCGATTCCAGCTTGTGTAAATTATGGGGTTCTAGGTCATCTTAGATTGTTTTTATTTTTCTTATTTGGAGCATTTTCTTTTTATAATTGCTACATGTTGAGTGATTGCTCTGTTTATTCAATTAATTGGGGCACCAACTCTTGTCTCTGTTCTTGTTTTCTTCTTAAACCTGAAATTTGTATATTATAAAGGTTAGGGCAATACCAGTTTTCTATTTAACAAAGAGAGTTAGAGAGAAAGTAAAAGGTAGAGGTACTTGAAAGAATTACAAACGTGACACAAAAGACTTGAGTGCTTTGTTTTATGGTTTGTGTCTTTTCTATTTTTTATCGATTCGTAAGACTTTGGCAATTTATGAGTTTAGTTAAATAAATTGGATCTTAAAGTGTCCTTGTTTTTACTAATTCATTGTATTTGATTAAGTGAGATTTTGGTATGTATCAGGAACTAAAAGAATGTCTATCAAGGTTTGATGAAACTCCAAGAAGTGCCCTATGTCATTTGGGTATAATGTCCATGGATTGAAGAGAGCTTCTATGATATATTTTTTTTCATTTGATTAAGCTTTTATCTCTAATGTTTTTAGGGGGTGTCAGATTGCAGGAATGAAAGATAGCTTGAATTGAATTTTGGTTTGCTTCATATTACTACTTTTAGCTATAGCTACCGTTCATTTTAGGTTAGATGTATAGAATTGGATTTGTTGTATCAAATACTACAATTTTGTAGTGACATACAAAGTGTTAATAGCCTTTTGATATTGTAAGTTGAGCATGTGGTTGTAAATTGTAATGAGACAAAATGGTTTCTTATACAACTCATCGTATGGCTGCCAATGCCTTGGCCCCTTTGCTCGTTATATGTTTTGTTGATGCATAAAATCGGAGGTCTCAGAACAACGTAAATTCGACCGTGAATCTGCAAGAAATGTAAATAACACAAGATGTATCGTGGTTCGTCCAAATGTTTGGGCTACGTCTACACTGATATAGTATTTCTCTGAAATGGAAAGAGAGCATTTGTAATGAGAGTGAGGCTATTATCTGAATATGAGAGGCTTAAAGGGGATGAGAAGGCTTAAGAATTGGCCTCCCCTAATGAGGAGAGTGAGAAGTCCTTTTATAGAATAAGGGCCCCTCACTTATTATATATTTGCCCCTTCTTTTATTACATAATTACATTAAGTCCCCCCGAGTATTTATACGAGATCTAAATACGGAGGCCCTAAGTATGGTATAAACAGTAGTCCCCCAAGTCTTTAGTCAAGAGAGTCTTTTGGCTGGAGACTTGAAATTCAGTCCATGTGTGGGCTGAAGTAACTAGATGTCGTATGGGATTGATACTCGATATGAGGCGGTGCTCAATCTGAAATGATGTTCAACTAGAAATAGCACATGTTGCGAGGCTGCTCGGTTTGTGGCTTATGTTGCCTTGGTTGGCTCGGCTTGTGACTTTGAAGGTGAAGGAGTCCCTTTTATAGAATAAGGGCTCGCTCCTCAATACATAAATGATGGGCTAAAGTTGATGCTCGCGGCAAGGCGGTTGCTCAGTAGGCGACGATGCTCTCTAATGATGGTAAGAGAGTCCCTTTTATAAAATAAGGGATCGCTCCTCAGTACATAAATGATGGGCTAGGAGTGATGCTCGCGGCGAGGCGGTTGCTCAGCAGGCGGCGATGCTCTCTAATAAAAGTGAGGGAGTCCTTTTATAAAATAAGGGCTTGTTCCTCAGTACATAAGTAATAGGTTAGAAGTGATGCTTGCGACGAGACGGTTGCTCAGCTGGCGGCGATGCTCTCTAATGAAGGTGAGGGAGTCCCTTTTATAGAATAAGGGCTTGCTCCTCAATACATAAGTGATGGGTTAGGAGTGATGCTCGCGGCGAGACGGTTGCTTAGCTGGCGGCGATGCTTTCTAATGAAGGTGAGGGATTCCCTTTTATAAAATAAAGGCTCACTCCTCAGTACATGAATAATGGATGCTCTCTAATGAAAGTGAAGGAGTCCCTTTTATAGAATAAGGGTTCGCTCCTCAATAGATAAATAATGGGCTAAATCCCTCGAGTATTTTTCATGAGGCCCAGTTGAGGCCCAATATATGTTACATAATGTAGTCCCCCAAGTTTTCAGTTAATAGAGTTTGTTGGCTGGAGACTTCAAATTGAATCCATGTATGGGCCGAAGTGGCGGTTGTTTGGAAGCGGTATTTGTATACCCTGCACTGAAGCTTTGTAGGTGAAGCTTTGCAAGTGAAGCTTTTGAAGCTAGAGCTCTATGAATAAAACTTTCGAAGCTGGAGCTCTTGTAAATGAAGCTTTTGAAGCTAGAGCTCAGTAAATGAAGCTTTCGAAGCTAGAACTTTGTAAATGAGGCTTTCGAAGCTAGATTGACATGAGTGATGCTCATGAATGTTTTTGTGGATTGACATGAGTGATGCTCATGAATGTTGACACGAATGATGGTCATGAATGTTTATGTATAATTGTCATGAGTGATGCTCATGAATGTTTATGTATGAATGACATGAGTGATGTTCATGTATAATTTTGGAGTACTGGACGTACTTTTGATCACCTAATGGGTGATAATAGCGGCAGGCTGCCGAATAATTTTGGAGTATAATTTTGGAGTACTGGACATACTTTTGATCACCTAATAAGTGATAATAGCGGCAAGCTGCTGAATAATTTTGGAGTACTGGACGTACTTTTGATCACCTAATGGGTGATAATAGCGGCAGGCTGCTGAATAATTTTGGAGTACTGGGCGTACTTTTGATCACCTAATGGGTGATAATGGCGGTGGGCTGCCGAATAATTTTGGAGTACTAGGCGTACTTTTGATCACCTGGTTTGTGATAATAGCGGCAGGGTGCCGAATAATTTTGGAGTACTGGGCGTACTTTTGATCACCTGGTTGGTGATAATAGCGACAGGGTGCCGAATAATTTTGAAGTACTGGACGTATTTTTGATCACCTGGTTGGTGGTAATAGCGGTCCTGGCTCTTTTGGGCAAATGGGCCTTCGCCTTTCACATAACACTCTAGCCCATTATTTTGGGCTTGCAATTTTTTGTTTTTTTTTTTTGGATTACCCTCTGATGGGGTTCTACAGATGTCTCTGAAAGATAAGAAAAATAAATTCGACCATCTGCTTAATGGGTCACGCCCATAATTCTTTTTTTTGCATGTCATCACCACCGCAATTATGTATACTTC